TGCTTACAGGTTCAGAGGTTTAGTTCATTGTCATCATGGCAGGAAGCATGGTGTTGAAGGTGAAGAGTTCTGCATCTTGATCTGCAGGCAGCAGAGGGTGATAGGGGTGGGAAGGGAGGGCAGGAGGGAGGAAGAAAGACTCTGCCTGGTTTGGGCTTCTGAAAAGTCAAAGCCTGTCTCTTCCTCCAACAAGGCTACACCTCTTAATCCTAAGTACTGCCACTCCCTGATAAATATTTATTCAAATATATGAACCTATGGGAGTTCAGACCACCACATTGTCATTTATCCCCTCTGGCTCTTACAATCCTCCCACTTCCTCTTCCGCATAGCACCCAATCCTTGAGGGGAGGGTTTGATAAATATGTCCCATTTGGGTAAGCTTTTTGATCACTTACCCATGGTGGGTCTGCCTTGCCAGGCCACAGGGGAAGAGGACATGCTCAGTCCTGATGCAACTTGATGAGCTAGGGTGAATGGAGGAGGGATGGGGAGAGAGGAAAGATGGGACTGGGAGGAGAGGAGGGATATCGCTACAAGAAGGATGTAAAGTGAATTTTAAAAAAGCTTCAAAATTAGTAGATTTCCATATGAACCCTCAAATAGCACTTCGTGATATCTGTCCCTCCCTGAATCCCCTCTTTTCGCTCCCTCTTTCCTCCCCCTGCCTAATTCTACCCCACCCCCCACCCCCCCATCTCTCTATAACTATATATTCTCTTTCTCCTTCCTTGGGAAATGCTTCCGGTCCCACTAATCCCTAACTCTGTACCTAACCTCTGTGGTTATATGTATTGTATATACCTATGGAAGGTTTATAAGCTGACATCCACATACAAAAGAAAATGTGAATGTGATATTTGGATTTTGGGGTCTGAGTTATCTCCCTCAGGATATTTTTTTCTAGCTCCCATTTACCTGTGAATTTCAGTTTTTTAAACATTTGAATGATACTCTATTATGTAATTGTACCACATTTTCATTGTCCAATCATCAGTTGATGAACACCGAGGCTTTTTCCAATTCCTTGGAATAGAGCAGCAGTGAACATGGATGAACAAGTATCTCTTTAATAAGATGTAAAGTTCTTTGAGTATATACCCAAGAGTGTTACAGCTAGATCTTGAGGTTTATCTGTTCCCGGCTTCCTTAGGAACCACCACACTGATTTCCATAGTGGTTGTACAAGTTTGTACTGCCACTAGCAATGAGTAAGTGTTTACCTTTCTCCACGTCCTCACCAGAATGAGCTGTCGTTTATTTTATCGATTTCTCGGCCATTGTATCTGGTGTAAGATGACATCTCAAAGTAGTTAAGATTTGCCTTTCCTCAATCACTAAGGATATTGAATATTTCTTTTAGTGTTTCTCAGCCACTTTGTGTTTCCTCTTCTGAGAACTGTTTAGATCTGTATCCCATTTTAAAATTGGTTATGTGTTTTCTTGATTTCCAACATTTTTAGCTCATTATATATTTTAGATATTAACCCTCTATAATACATGTGAATGATTGTTAAAGATCTTTTCCCATTCTATCCAAATGATGGTGTCCTTTGCCGTATAGAGGTTTTCAGTTTCATGATGCCTCATTTATTAATCGTTGTTCTTAGTGCCTGTGTTATTGGTGTTCTGTTTAGAAAGCTTTTTCTATGCCAGTGAATTCAAGTTCTATTTCCCACTTTCTCTTGTATCAGATTTAGTATATCTGGTCTTGTGTTGAGGTCTTTGATCTATTTGGAGTTGAGTTTTGTGCAGGGTGATAATATGGATCTATTTGCATTCTTCTATATGCAGCCATCCAGTTTGACCAGCATCGTTTTTTGTTTTTTTTTTTTTTTTTTTTTTTTTTTTTTTTTTTTTTTTTTTTTTTTCCCCAGTGTGTATTTCTGGCTTCAGATGTCCATCTGTGTGTGGACTTATGTCTGGGTCTTCAATTAGATTCCACTCATCAACATGTCTATTTTTATGCCAGCAACATGCTGTTTTTATTATTATAGCTTTATAACTTGAGATGAGGGGTGGTAATGCCTCCAGCAGTTCTTTTATTTAGAATTGTCTTAGCTATTCTGGTTTTTTTTGTGTTCTTATAAGAAGGTGAAATTGTCCTTCCAATTTCTGTGAATAATTGTACTGAAATTTTGGTGGGTAGAAATTGTAGATTACTTTTGGTTGGATGACCATTTTTACTATATTAATCCTCCTGATTCATGAGCGTGGGAGATCTTTCTATCCTCTGATACCTTCTTCAAATTCTTTCTTTAATGTTTTAAAGTTTTCATTATACAAGCCTTTCATTTGCTTAGTTAAAGCCAACCCAAGATTTTTTTTTTTT